CCACCTCTGGGATGAATAATGGCCAACTTTGTAGCTTGACCACTCAAGGCTAAAAAAGAAGAGGCAGAAATATGTCAGCAATGAAGAGCAAAACAGAGCAACCCAGTGTCGTCCACAGAGCAAATTAGCATGAGGAAGTCCCTCTTTTCACTAAAAGGAAACAAGATAATGGACATAAATGGAAGAAAGCTAATGGTGTTACCTAGTGGCTAAGAGAGGTACCCATCAGGAAATCCTGCACTCGAATCCCTTCTCTGCTAGGAACCCAACAGGCAGTCTTAGGGAAGCCCCTCACTCTCAGCCTCAGAACCACCTCCCCATCTGTAACATGGATAAGTCATACTATTGGGTCATTTTATAGGATCACAGCACGGAAAAGTTACTTTTCAAGAGAATAATCCCCAGAATCCCCAGACAGGATGGGTTTTTGATTCTCACACTTCCCCAGCCATTATGTTTTAATGATGAAGCACAACCCTTAGTTCTGAAACAAAAATAACATTTTTGGGATGCTTGAGTCCCCCAACATTGGTTTTCCAAGATCTCTGCAGGATTGCTGTGAGGATTACCATGAACAATGCAGATGAACTTATGAAGGACTTGAAAGTTTTGTTACCAGATGGTCCCCTTGGTTTTGTTGCCGGTTAGAGAAGGATGAGACTTGTCGTCATGCCTCACCTGAGAGCACCAGGTTGGGGAAATCTGCACCCCACAAACCTAAAGCATTTATGATCCTGGGAATACAATAGGAATTCTTGAAAAGTTTGCTTTACAATGCAAATTGTTAGCAGGCTTCAGATAATAATAATGAACACGGCACTTGTTCTCTTTTGCTCAATTTTTTTTAATCTTTCTTCATTTTCTCAATAAATAAGATGTAAGAAAATTTGTTTGCTAGTGTGAAAAGTTTACAGAGGGCAGGTTGCGTTTGTTCCAAAGCATGCTGTCTCCCCTTTTCTTTAAAAGAACCCCTGTACTAAGCAGGTCATTTAATGAACAACCCTCATCAAGGATACGGATCAGACAGCTAAATGAGGTTTAGAAGCATCTGTGTTTTGTGCCTTTGGCGATGCAGATACATGTCTTTGAGAACTCCATGACCGGCGTATAGCTCAGCATTTTATAAATGGTCAGGATAGCTAAGATCTGTGCAAACCTGTTCCACTGCCGTAGGGAAACTCAAAGGCAACTGGAAAAACAAAGAATTCTGGTTGAAATCAGCAAAAGCGCTCCTGCCCAAAACCCTGCATGCCTCTCCAAAATGGGGGCTGTACTGTGGTTTCCCAGTAATTTAATCAATGTGATGTGAGAGCTGGCGGAGAGCTTAGGGTACAGACGGCCAGACACTGCTGCTGTCTTGTGACCTTCCTCGGGGTTGGGCAGGACAGCTGGGCAATCAATCAACAAGAGAAGCGAAATCGATCAAGGTCTCCAAATGCCAGCTAGTGCCATGGAGTCAAGACCTGGGCAGCTGGCTGTAACATTTCTCCTTCCTCTCCCTCATGGCTTTTGGAGGCTCTGAAATGGTGGAGGCTGGTGGCTCCAGTTGTGCAAGGGTAGTGAATTCACTGCAGGTATTAGTCCAAACTCTACAGCAGTTATCCAAGGCACCGGGTCCTAGTTTCAAAATAAGTTCCTCACCTTGGATACGTCCTGCAAAGGTTAGACTGAATGCTGGAGTAAATTCACTGCCCCAGGAAAAATAGAGTTACTGGAATCTTACATGGGTTGGGTTGGTCCTCAGTTGAAGGATTTTATACTTCCAAGATGGCAAAGACTTCTTATTTTGAAGCTCTCCATAGATTCTGCCACTACTAAATTAGATGTTAGTATTAAGTTTTAGAAGATCTTCCTCAAGTGATGAAAAACATCTGTTTCTCACGGCACCATCATTTCCTTCATCTATCTGCCTTGCATTGAACCTACTTCATTTCAGCTCTGTGATCTGATTGGTCATTCAAGGGCAAACCTGGACTTCATTTGCAATTCTGATTGTTGAGACATTCTGATTCTCAGGAAATCTCATTGTAGAAAGGAGGTTACATAAAGGAGGTAGGGGATACATATTTCCCTTAATATTTAGTCTGACCTCTGAGTAGACATACGTACAGTCAAGACAAATCAATGGTTTTACGCTAGGGTGGCCACATGCCCTCCTTTATAAAGGGTGGTCCTCTCTATGAAGGCTTGCCACAAAGTAGCTGTGTACATAAAAGCTTTTTAAATTCAAATTGGGTTGTTGTGCTCTTTTGAATGTGTCTTTAGTAGTGATTTGATTTAGCGTTTTTGATATAATACTTGTTTAATTCTTTTTTTCAATATTTGCACAGTATACTTATTGTTTGTACCTTTTAAATATTGTCCTTTGAATGACTGGTCGACATCACCTTGGGTTCTTTTAAGGAGAAAAGCAGGGAAATAAATAAATAAATAAATAAATAAATAAATAAATAGATGTGCCCTCTGTTTCGGTTTGGGGCTAAAGAGCTGTCAGAAGCCTAGCAGAGGTGGTGAATCCGGGTTTCAGTCCAAACTTTACAGGTATGTCCAAAGTGCTGAATCATGTCCCTAAAATAGCAGCTTGAATAATTCCTTTAAAGTTTGGGCTAAAACCCAGAGTGGACTCACTATTGGCATGAAATCAGAGTCGCCAGCCTCCCTTGCTGTTGCCTGTCAGCTGTTAGCACCTGGACTGAGCAGGCACATCGGTTCACCTGGTTTCACCTTTACCTAGAAAGGTAAAATGTGCTCATTTCCCCCCCCCCACTAAAAAGGATAGTTCTTACTTCCAACATTTGTGCCAATCCATTTAAAGTAATATATGCATGTTTTATGCAAATAGACATCCCTTTTTCTTTTAATCCCTTTTTTTGCTGATGCATGTGGGGACTTTGACTGGATCGGTCACAATGATATGAGCACTCCCCCGACTCTTCGTCAGCTTTATTCCTTCTTCTTTTCTCCTTGTTGGTGCGCCACAAAGCAATTCCACTGTTTGTTGCTCTTGCAGTCTGTTGGCGGAAGTAAAAAAGGAACCAAATATTTCCTAGTTCAGCCGTTCTGCTCATATTCGTGCCTTTTGTGACCCCAGGAACAAAATCCTGGGACTATGGCAGGAAGCTAGCTTACCACTTTGGAGGGTCACCTACATACCTCACTCATCCCTAGATTTTCTGCCAAGAGCTTTAGCTGCATGGCGATTGAAGAGTGATCTGGCAGATGGTTCCTTTTCTAATGCTGGACTCTACTTTGGAAGTGACTCTCCCTGAACCTGAAAAAGTCCAAGACTAAAACCTAAACACACTCCACCCTCCATTTAAACTCCACCCAAAGTCCACTCCACTCCTCTAATTCAGTGCTTCCCAACCTTGGGTCTCCAGATGTTCTTGGACTGCAGCTCTCAGAAATCCTGGCCAGCACAGCTAGTGGTGAATGCTTCTTGGAGTTGTAGTCCAAGAACATTGAGGAAACCAAGGTTGGGAACCATTGCTTTCATCGATGGTGCTGTACATCACCTCCTACAGGTTATAGCTCTTAGTTTTCCCCCATTTGAAGGGTTTAATTGGTACTCTTGTCTGTTGGTTCGGTTTGGTTCTTCAACAAATACTTCCATGTAGCTGAGAACAAATGATTTCAGGCCACCTCTGAAACAGTGTGGAGCAGGTGGGTCCCCAACCTGTAGAACAAGTATTTGGATATGTATCCAAATGGTCCACCCAATTCTTGAGTTCAGAAACTGTGACAAAGTGGCCAAGGTCCAATACTGTATCTGTGAAGATTCTCAGTCATCCAGGTATGGTTATCTGGAAGTTGAGTCATGGCAACTGGACTTCTTTCCTATTCGGTTGAAACGTTTTGCTCCTCACCCAAGTAGCTTCTTCAGTCTGAGGAGAGTTGGTAGGAGATCCCTGATATATCCTCCATGTTTGTTTCACTTCCCCCCTGGTTTGAATAGGCTCTGAATTTGAGGACCAAGATGTGTTCATTTTGGACTGAGAAGATAGGTAGTTTGAGAGGGAGGTTAGGGAGGCCATACATATGCATACAGAAAATCCTTCACTCAACAGGGGTTGAGGCCTTAGATACAATCTGTCTCCTATTGATCATACTACCCTTTCATCCATCCCCAGAAAGATTAGGATCACACACACCAGAAAGACCACTGTTAATGACTGTTAACAACCCATGACAATGGGTGGAGAAAGACTGCAGAAGTGGGATTATCCCTCACCCCCAGTCCTTTGTCCTTCTAACGAGCCTATTCAGACTAGGGGGAAGTGAAACCAACATGGAGGATAGATCAGGGGTCTCCTACCAACTATCCTCAGGCTGAAGAAGCTATCTGGATGAGCAATGAAACATTTCAACCTAATAAGAAAGAAGTCCAGTTTCCATGACTCAACTTCCAGAGATCCAATACTGTAGTTTATATCCAATGCTGGTGGATTAGGGGCTTCTTTCCTCTCCCTCTCATGCTGTATGGTGCTTTAAAAAAAAGCAGCACCATGCCCCAAAGGGCTTCTCAACCCTCTGGAGTAGATCCTGAACGTGTACAGGGCCACAGGAAGGGAGAACGGGGTGGTAGATCCTAGTGGGGAAAGTGGCATCCAGTGGAAGAACATAAATTACATTTTGGGAGCAAGATTACGAGAGAATTTTCTTGCTTTTAAATGACAAAAGCAGGGACTCTGATCTCTGGAAGAGAAATGTCAGATGTCTGAACACTGAAATGAATTATTCAGAAGCACTTCCATGGTAAGGAAGTCCCTTGCTCACGTGGACTGCTGGTTTTCTAACCCTCTTTAGGGAAAAGGGGAAACCTGTATTTCCAACCCCACCTAGTTTCCCTGTGTTTTGCCAGGCCAACCCACTCTACTCGTTTTCTCAGCTGCCGTTTTTACCCTCTTTTTCTGTGCATTGAACCTAGAGAGCTTTCCTGGGTAGAAATTTTATCTTAGCCTTCTGAATCTCCCCATTTTACCTAGAGAAACAATAGGACCTCTTGCCTGTGCACAGAACCACACTGGGCCTGGTGTAACTTGTGTCCTGCGTGTTGCCCACCCCTCACTGAGGGCCAAAGCTTGGTGTCTTTCTCAGTCTGCTGGCCAGCTTCTTATCAGGGGTTTCCTGAGCTGCAGCATTTGCTGGATTCTACCCTTTCTGTTCCCTGCGACTTGCACCAGCCCTGCAGAAGCATCCATTCCTGTCTTTTCAGCAACGTGCTTTAAGCGGTTGATTCACCTGTGCAGATTTTTTTAAAAACTTAGGTTTGTTTTGGCTGAAGCAGGTGCATTGGAAATGGTGGACAGCAAACTTGGAGATTCCTGCTCGGCTTTGTGCATTACAGTAGACCGGGCTTCGTTTGTTTGTTTTCATCCTGGTTCGCAGCCGGGCATTCGTTATCCTTTGTAAATGTACTTGATGGGAGACCCGTCTGGATCACGGAGGAAGCTGTCGCTCTCGTTCAAGGAGTCGCTCTCACCCGATGTATTCGCATTTTTCAGCCTCATTATCTGTGACTGCAGTCTCTCTTGTTCCTTCCTCAGCTCCGCGTAAGAGTGAGAGAAGGTGTGGAAGATGGAGGTGGCCGGGAAAGCCATTATAAGTATCCCACTCAAAATGCTACTGAGGGCCACCATCTGGCCTGGAACACTCCTTGGTACCATATCCCCGTAACCCACGGTCGTCATGGAGATGATAGCCCACCAATAGGAGGCAGGGATGCTGGTAAACTCCAAGACCTTCCCAGATTCATTTTCCGCCAGGTAGACCAGTGGGGAAAAGAGGGTGACGGCCACGCACAAGAAAAGCATCAGCAGGCCAAATTCCCGGGCTGACCTGCGAATGGTGAGGCCTAAAGTCTGCAAACCCAAGGAGTGCCGCGCAAGGCGCATGACATACAGTATCCTCAAGGCACGTAAGACGCGTAGCACCAACCCCACCTTCTCGAAGTAGGTGTTCCCGCTTGGCTTCTTGTCGTCCTCCACAGACTCGTCCTCCAGCACGATGAGGGAAGCGTAATAAGGGGAGATGGCCATGATGTCGATGATGTTCAGGGGCCCTTTGAAGAACTGACACTTGCTCTTGGCTTGGATGAATCGGAGGCAGAACTCCAGGGAAAACCAAGCCACGCAGATGGTCTCCACGATGAAGATATAATAGCACTTTTGGGAACATTCACCCTGCGTATGGAAGAGAAGGGGAGGGGAAAGCCCAAATAAGGCAATGCATTTCTCGCTTCTTCACAACACAGTACAAAATGAAACGGAAAAGCATGGCAAAGGGCTTCCGGGCAACACCTCAATGCAGAGAATTTTGTGCTCAGAGGCACCGATAGCGAGGTCTCCTGTTTGGCACTGCCAGCAAGGAGAGATCTGTGGAAACCCTCTTGTGATTTCAGCTGAGCCTTATGTTTGCTGACACACAAGTAAACAGTATATTCCCATTTTTCTTTTGCTACATTGTCAATATCTATTAGATCTGTGCAATCCTGATCGCACTTCTTTCGGTACCCTTGGGGTATAGTTAGCCGGCATTTCCAAACTTTGTTATATTGTTCACAGTTTTATAGGATGATATTACACATTTTAAAGGTTCAGACCTCCTACACTGTAACCCTTCTGTATATATTTTCTAATTGTGTTGCTTTCATATGCTTTGTATTATGTTGTGTTTTGCCTCGACCTATTGCCATAAACATTAGATTACTCCTAACTGATACCTTCTTCTTTATTAGCTTCAAAACTTTTCTAGCAAAGTTTTTTTTAAAATAAATAAATCTATGGCCAGTGTTTAAATTAATCTTTAATGGGCACCCGCCTATTTGCATGCTTTAATTGACATTCTTAGACTCCTAGATAAAGATATTTCATCACTTAAGGTGTAATGTACAGGTGACAGCATCAACCAGAACAACAAAACCTTTGAGGCAGTGGATGATGGCATGATAAAGAAACCAAATCCATTCTGTTGGATTTGTATGGTCTAAAAGAGCTGAACATTTATGTGAGGAAGAGTCAGATTACGGTGGCCAAGCATGTCATTGCATAGAGAAAGCTTTGGGTTCTATCCCTGGTCTTCTCGGTCTTACAAAGGCTCACGAAAGGGATGATGCAGACAGGGCCTGAGAGACCTTTTGCCAATCATTTATAGAACTCAGAACCAAATCCAAGGCCTTTCACTGCCGGAACCAAAAGATCGAGATGGCTGCTGTCCTAAATTCTTGTGCAGAAGGTGGCCAGGATGGGAACTGGATCATACTTCAGCCCAAGAGATAGGACTGTTGTCCACCACACCTCAAGGAAGCAGAGTTATATATGGAATATATAACAGGTCACACGGCACACAGAGATCTGTCCACTAACACCTTCCACCAGTTTCAACCCTCAGCATCTGTCGCCTATGGGGGCTGCCCTACTCTGTATCACAGTAGGACCAACCCTAGTAGAAACTTCTGGACAGATCTGCTCTATAGGCTTTGTGCCAGCTGATCTGTCTTGTGTGTGTGCCATTGAGTCAGTTCTGACTTATGGCAACCATTTTTCCCAAGGTTTCCTAGACAGAGAGTACTCAGAAGTGGTTTCCCCCTATCCTTCTTTTGGGGGTGTCCTGGGACTGTGCAGCTTGCCCAAGGTCACCCAGGCTGCTGCTTCTTTGATGCCCAGGGGAGAATCAAACTCCCAGCCTCTGACTCCGCAACCAGACACCTAACTCACTGAGCTATCCAGCCAACCTAATCTCTCTTAGCCTGCCACAAAGAGTCATGGTGACATTAGATCCCAAGGAAAGTCCCCCAGAGGCTCCGTTTGACCTAGTATCTCTGCAAACAAGGTCCTGAGGAAACCACCTGGTGCCAAAGGCGAGGATTTCTGTGAGACGCCCCCCTCTCTCTCTGAACAGAATGTCGGTTCCCTGAGGAACAACCCAAATGGGTAATAAACATCGCCTTAGCACATGAATCACCCTCCCACCTACCACCTGCTGCGTTTCGATCTTCACATACAGCTATTCTTCTTGTGGCGGGAGAAAAAGCCTGCACGTTGAAGGAAAATAGAACACAGAAAGATTCTCTTCCTGCATTTTTTTCAGTTTATTAGACCACCAGTTCAACAGCCGCCCTCATGCTCTGATACCTCTCCCTTCCAAAGCAAAGTGGTACCTCACCCTTCTAACTCCCCGGGCTCAAGGGGATCAGAGGGTTAATAGTCACGCTATCTGTACAAACAACTGCAGAAACTTCCCATCAGCAAATCTACGGATTAGACCACTATAGCTCAGTTGGTGGGAGGCTGACACAGCTGAGGGTTTCAGGTTCAGCATTTGTAAATATTGGTAAATGCAGGGTGGAAATGAAGCTCTAGCAGGTTGATGTAGTATTTTCATAGGAGACTGAGAGGTTATTTGGACATTTATTAAGGGGACACAGAAGATTAGACAAGATTCCCATAGCAGTTTCACAGCTATGTAGTTTTTATGTACATAGTTTGTGTGTAAAAGGTTTGTGTTTTGATCCCTAGCATTTCCTAACAGAGATGGGAATGACTCATCTCAAACCCTGAAAGAAAGTGTTCTCAAAGGCTTTCATGGCCAGGATCTGATGGTTGTTGTGGGTTTTTCAGGCTGTTTGGCCATGTTCTGGAGGTTTTTCTTCCTAACGTTTCGCCAGTCTCTGTGGCTGGCATCTTCAGAGGACAGGAGCTAGAAGACAGGTTAACAAACTCTACCTAGCCATATGGACCGCTGATCATTGCACACAGAAGACTAGCTAACAACACCCACAAATCACAGTGACAGATCATTTCCCCCCTTATCACAACAAAATAACATCGTCCATAACAACAACAACAACAACAACAACAACAACAAAAAGCCCAACACCCTGATCACAGAAAACACCCAATCTTCTGAAAAAACCTGATCCCACAGCTACAAATACTCAACAATCCCACACACTACACCAGAACATGGACAGAGTTCTAGCTCCTGTCCTCTGAAGATGCCAGCCTGGTGAAATGTTAGAAAGAAAAACCTCTAGAACACGGCCAAACAGCCTGAAAAAACCACAACAACCTCCTGAAAGAAAGCTTTCTAGGCCATTGTAGAGCTGACATGGGGTATATGTGGCTCTCTAGAACCTCTGAATTATACCTCGTATAGGTTTTTCTTGCCCATACTAGGTGGCATTTCTGGAAACAGAAGGAGCTGAAGTCTCTGAAGTTCTATGGGTCTTCCTCTTTGTTGTAGACAATATTTGGCCGGATAGCCTTACCCTGTATAAGTCAGAGATGGGTGCCCTCCAGAGGACTTGGGGCTGCACATCTCCATCTCTGGATCTTGGAGGACTACGTCTTCTCCCATGATTCCCACCCCCAAAAATATTTTCCTTACAAAAATGCTGCATTTTTTTAAACCAAAGAAGTTCCCTTGCACCTTCTAGTGCTCAGAAAAATATTTTAATTTCTTTTTTAATCATGGGGGTGGGTTGGTTCAGGAGTCTTGGTGTCACATGCCTCTAGAGGATATCTATATCTATGTATCTATCTCTATCTCTCTATCTCTCTATCTAAACCAAAGCCCTTGCACCTTCTAGTGCTCAGAAAAATATTTTAATTTCTTTTTTAATCATGGGGGTGGGTTGGTTCAGGAGTCTTGGTGTCACATGCCTCTAGAGGATATCTATATCTTATCTACTATCTCTATCTCTCTATCTCTCTATCTCACTATCTCTGTCTGTCTGTCTGTCTGTCTGTCTGTCTGTCTGTCTGTCTGTCTGTCTGTCTGTCTGTCTGTCTGTCTGTCTGTCTGTCTGTCTGTCTGTCTGTCTGTCTGTCTGTCTGTCTGTCTGTCTGTCTGTCTGTCTGTCTGTCTGTCTGTCTGTCTGTCTGTCTGTCTGTCTGTCTGTCTGTCTGTCTGTCTGTCTGTCTGTCTGTCTGTCTGTCTGTCTGTCTGTCTGTCTGTCTGTCTGTCTGTCTGTCTGTCTGTCTGTCTGTCTGTCTGTCTGTCTGTCTGTCTGTCTGTCTGTCTGTCTGTCTGTCTGTCTGTCTGTCTGTCTATCTATCTATCTATCTATCTATCTATCTATCTATCTATCT